AAATCATAATAGTTTGCATGACCCGGCCGCCGCAGTTCTCATCATCACATCAGTACATTTTATAAGTTGTCAGTCACATGAACACTTCGGATCACAAGTGGGTCCGATCGTGATGCAGGCGCAGAAATAAGCGCTTTATTCTGAGGTTGTGTGCTTAGACGAAAGTACAAATATGTTCGGGGTTCAACAGGAGGAAGATTTTCAGTTCTAGTCGAAAAGCTGAATTGAACAACTTCACCATGAATCGAGCGACTCTTCTCCTGCATGTTGTAAAGGGTAGGAGGTTTTGATGACGATAGGTACAGCTGGTTTTTTTAAGGTAGCTGGCTCCTCGCCGTCGTCCACATAGCCGATGCTCGCCAGTCAGGAGACGTGTTCGTAAGGGAGATGGAACGAAGATTTATTTACATTATAGATGAAAGATAGGAACTGTACAGGGATCCAGAAGATCCCGCATTATGTACAACAGAGATTCAGTTCATAATACCACACTGATTTACAAAATGCTTCGGCTTTTATAGCCCGCCGTCTCCTTTACACCGAGATCCGAAGAAGGTGGTGAGCACTCTCGCCACAAATAAGGTGACAAAGTCTCAATGGTCCAATGGGAGCACGAGCGCAACACACAATGACGCACCTGGCCCCCGCCTTGAAGGCGCCGCAGGGCGATAAGGTAGATTCCAAAGAGGGAAGATTGAGCTCCTCCGGGGAGATGGCCGCAAACCCGAACGTCAGCAGCGGTCCATGCTGCTTTCAGCTTCAGGCAGTCCGTATGCTCGATCCCAGAGAACGGCTCCTTCGACGTCTTCCCACGCTTCCGGACTGTCGGTGCTTTGTGATGGCCTCGAGTAGATGACTTTAGCAGACTCGAGAGGTTCACTTAATGAGACCAGCCACAGTGACGCCGTCCCATGCTGTTCAAGCCCCTTCAACAAAAAGCTTGACTCGCGAAGCTTTCGTTGAGACCCGACTGCTTCCTGGAATATCTACAGGACAGCGTCTTGCAAACTGGGCGCCAATGGGGTTAAAAGCATCCTAGCAGACCGGCTTACGCACAATGGCATCTGCCCAGACGAATTGCCGGGCCAAACGTAACAATGTTGACTCTTCTCCTCCATGCGCTTTGAAGACTCAGACAGGGAAAAAACAGGTGTGCGCTGTCAATTCTTGGTCCGCGTCTTCAAAGTGCATCCATATCGTCGACATGCAGAACCAACTGGCCCAATTAAGTTTGTTGACAAACTTTTCCTGCAATTTATGCATATTCTGTTTGTATAGGCGCAATCACTATCAGAGGTAACACGGAGCAGGGGGCCGCACTCACCGAAATGCCACAACAGATATTTTGCACGACGCCCATAGGCCACACGAGCCGTGTTACCTGCAGCAGTGGCCGTGCCTGTACTTGCCGTGCACTACGTTGAGCCCCTTCATGTAGCCACTAGACGTTACTCTAAACACATCCTAAGGAATGTGACAGAAATAATACAGCAGCAAACTCAAACACACCATGAAAATATCGCCGAAACCATTGAAAAAGCATTGCCGGAAGTGCCGCACCGGAAGTCTGCTGGGGTAGGCTGTTCGGCGCGAGCCAGTTTGTTTACAAACACCGAAACCATCTATGCTGTGACTTTACTTTATTAATGCCCGACTCTACGTCTTCATAGAAGCGTTCACGTCTTCATGGCTCGATGCAGGTGCGTAGGCCTGTACCACCTTTATCTCGTATCTTTTGTTATACTTAATTATGATACTTGCCCCCTCTCACTGATGCTGTAGTATTCCTGTATGTTGTCAGCGATATTCTTGTGTGTAAAGAACACCACCCCTAGTTCTTTTCTGTCAAGTAATAGCATAGGATGTGTGCTTTTCTTAGCACTGTATAAGCCTAACGTGTGAGGTGTCCTCCTAATTTCGCTGAGCCCTATTACATCCCATTGAACACCCTCTAATTCCTCGAATAGCACAGCTAGACTAGCCTCACTAGATAGCATTCTAGCGTTGAAGGTAGCCAATGGCGGCTAGCCTCACTAGATAGCATTCTAGCGTTGAAGGTAGCCAATGGCGGCCAGTCCAGACCCAGAGATTCTTAGCACCCTCCTCTGTGTCGCAGGTCTGACCCCCGCCTTGTACAGTTGCTTCGCAGCCACTGGGGACTGAGGGCCAAGGGTTCATTGCTGTATTCATGGGAGTTTGTGGCCAGGGCAGCCAATTTTGCTCTGGGGAAGGAGTGCATTACCGGCAGCTGGTCGTCAGTGAGACCGCACCCCAGACCTCTTTCTTTAAGGATTCCTTCATCCCGCATTTTAAGTAAATATGCAGGGCCAATGTCATGAGTAAATGGGGGCGCGAGGCACGTGCCGGGCGTTAGAATGCGGCACACGTGCGCGAGACTCCCGATGGGGGGCAGACACGCCACGTTCACGTATGAGATGGTCGGACAAAGGCTTGTGGCATGCGACCTGAGCCGTAATGGGAAATTTGGAGGATAAGCTGTCACTGTGCTGTGGAGCTTCGAACTGTGAAAATCAAGGTCAGCGTCGCTACCACGACGAAAGCAGTAGTGCCACCCGGTTCTGAAGGATGTCTGCGTAAGAGGCCTGGGAAGTGGCCGTCGACCTCAGAAGTCTCGAGTGAGGCTGCCAGGACTTGCTGCAACCTGGCACAGCAGTTCCTGGGGGGGGGGGGGGGGGGGGGGGGGGGACTGCAGCCCTTCCACTTCGCACCAGTATGAATGCAGCCCACACCACAGTCAAGACGCCGTTGACGATTTAAAAAGAGCCTAACTGAGCCAGAAAAGACGAAACAAAAATTGCCCGCAGCTTCCCTCGGGGGAACACTGAGGAGGATGCGGACCATATAATTGGTTAACGGGGTGTTAAAGTGCGACTTACTTGGGTCGATGGCTAAATTGGTTAACGTGGTTGTGAAATGGGGTGTTAAATTGCGACTTACTTGGGTCGATGGCTAAATTGGTTAACGTGGTTGTAGGAGGGGGTGTTAAATGAGTGAACACGTACACACGTATGCGAAAGGGCGGCGCTGGTCGAAGGGACGTCGATCATTGTGTTTGTGGATTCGTTGGAATTCATTTCACCGCGACCTTGGACGTCGACGCGCCGTACAAACCAACCGACGAGCGGCAACTGAGCGAGCGAGCGCCGACCTTGAGTATATATACAGCACGACGGCGCATGCACTGTCAGCTGTTGAATGTTCTCGAAGCGCGACGCCACATGCGCGTCCACTGGAGAATCAGGAGAATTGTAGATGTCGAACGCGGTGTGTAGAGGAGGAAGGGTGCACAGATGGTGGAGGAGTGAAGCGCGCGCGGTGTGTAGAGGAGGAAGGGATGCACAGATGGTGGAAGAGTGGGCGACGGCGCGACGGCGCATGCGCGCGCGTCAGCTGTCGAATGTTCGAGAAGCGGTGCGGACGGCGCGGACGGCGCACTACAAGGCGCGAGTATAAGATGCTCCGCATCTAAAAGACTGGAACCATCCCGGCAATCAGATTGAGCGACTCGTTCAGCCAGAGAGGACGACAATTATAGGAACTTGGGTGGGGAGGATGTCGACAACATAATCGACGAACTGCCGACACGGCAAGGGCACCAAGTCTACGTGGCAACGCGATGAATTGTAAGAACATTTCAATACTGAGACCCCATCTTGGATAAATTTTGGCTAGGGTTAGAGTTGGCTCTAACACAGATGGTAGTTAGTTTTGGCTTCAGTTCGTAGCAGACTGGTTTGTACCGTGTTATTTTTTAGTGCTTTAACATGAATTCTGTGTATTTGCTTTGTCCGTCCTTTGTATAAAGTGTGTTCATTTTGCCACGCCTGTCTCCCTTCTCTCTCAATCCAGTCCTTTGCAAGAACTCCCAAGATAAATCATGACAAGAACATTAATGAAGGCGCTTGAGTCATCTTAAGGGCTTCAGGAAAAATACAACAGCACTGAACAAATTTATTATTTTTTTATGTACATTCTTGGTGGGCTCAGTTTTTTTTCTGTGTGGAAAGGGTTAAATGGCAATTCTGGTCATCTGATGCTGGTTATGGCAGTGGCTATAGAACAACAACGAGGCACCTGTAGTGACTCATTGTGTTATTAAGTGTGTGCCGCATAGTTTTGTATTGTGTGCTGTGTGTGCCTTGCATCGATGTCCAATGCAGCACTTCTCTCACAGTCTTTCAAGTGATGAAGTTTATTACTGCAGAGGCAGCAGTAGTAAACAAAATTTCCTCTCACTTGTCTTGCAAGTGATTGTTGAGAAAAAGGTACTCGATCATAGAGAAATAAAAGATGTTGCTGCTTGCTTTGTTATGCTACACAACCTTGCTGTAAAGTTGATTCATTGTGACTTGCTGTACCAGATCTTGCATAATTAGTCTAACATAATAAGCTTGTGCAATTACACAAAACAGAAAATATGCCTACTGTGATAAAAGGTGTCCTTGCTCTCCCGCGCTGAAGCTTATTTGTTTTTTGGGTGTTCTATTTGGTGAACATGGCATTCGGTGTTTTACTACTCTGGACACTAAAAGATATTTTCTTGGCAACCTGCATTGATAAAATGGGCACAATAGTTTTACTTAGACCGAATTACAACTTTGAGCTAGACTGCATTTTTTTTTTTTTTTTCAGCTTTCTGCTTGTGTACAGTTGCTGTGAAGAGGACTTATCAGCACTGTTCAAGCTGTAAATGCAGTTGCCAGTTGCTAGGCTCAATAAAACTAAATTATCTTGTTATTGAAGTAAGGTTTATTTCCAGTTTTTTTATTGTTTTAACATCTTTTATAGCCTTTTCTGTGTAAAAAGGAATCTGTTAGTGCCTGTACTCAAGAGGTCTAACTATAATGCAAGAATGTGTCGATATATCTAAGTAAGTTGTTTATTTCGCAAGCTTCTTCATGTGCAGGTATAGCTGTATATTCTGCTGCTCTTTTGTCTATCAGTTTTGTTTAGATAATATGACCTGTTTTATATTCTAGGTGCGGGGAACGCAGCTGTGGTTATCGTTTTCGCACTGAAACCAGCCTTGAATACCATGGACGTTGCCACACACCTGCTGGCCCCAGACCATACTGTTGTCCTGAGTGTGGGGAACAGAGAGATCATTGGCGCAGCCTTGCTATGCATCTTTGGAGAAGCCACACGATGGACTTGGACTTACACAGGTGAATTTTTGATGTTTAAAATACCACGTTGTAGACTTGCTTGCTCTTTCACACAGTTGTTGTTGGCAATCACATTGCCCCCTACATGCTGTGCTTTTGATGGGAATTGGCTTTTATATGTAACTGGGAGCTACACTTCCTTTTTACTTTTTTTTTGTTACTCTAAAGATGCATGCCGACATGCATTGAATACTGGAATTTCAAACCTAACTCGTAGCCTGATTTTATTGTGTGAGTTTGTGTTTCATGCTCTGGGGTAGCTAAGTAATAAAAGCATGGTTATCTTTATTCTTTTCCCATTAAATCAAATGCAGATAGTTTTATTAGCTATAATTCAAGATAACATCATGCTAGGAACACTTGCAAATGTTCTACATGTGTATATATAACTCTCTAGGATGGGCCTGTAATACTGGAAAATTGCTTTCCTTCCATCATTTGGTGTAAGTGATGTATCCTGCAGTGAAATTTACCTGAGGGTGAAAAACAAAATACAAAATCCACTTGCTCTCAGGGCTAGAATTTATGGCAGGTGCCTTGAAACTTGTGTAGTGTAATGTTGTGTTTTGAGTTTGCTCGTATGCTAGGCACCTTGGACCCAGAGACACTAAGTACGACCGCACTCGTGAGCATCGAAAAACCAAGTGTTTTATTTAGACATCCTCATCCCAGTCCCCAACGCGGGTGGCACCACTAGACAGCTGACTGAACACAGGTGACAACACGACACATCCTTCCTTCAAAGACTTGTGTAACATTATTAATTCAGGCAGGCTGGGAGGACTACCCAGTGGCCACTACGTCGTGCCACATCATCTCGAGGGTCACGGCTGACGTCTGGTACTGCACTCGCTGCAGTGTCCGGTATGTTCACCGTTGAATTTGCAGGAGAAGCACCCTGCTTTGTGCTGGTGGGAGTTGCAGGGTCTATTTGATTCTGCTGGGAGAACCCAGACAGCTGTCGCCGGTTCTGCTGCAGGATTGCACCTTGACCAGTCTCTATTATACAGACGATCTCGCATATATGAAACAGATGTATAGAATAATAGGATCGTAACATATTTTTAGCGCACAGTGACACACGGAAAAAGAGAGGAAACACCAGCTCTTACTATCAAGTGAAGGTTTCATTCAGAAAAGAAACATAGTCGAATCCCGCTACAATGAACACCACTACAGTCAAACTCTGCTACAACGAACGCCGCTTCAACGAAAAATTCACGATTCCCCATCAGCAGTTCATAGGAGTCAATGCATAAATATTGTCACCACAACGAACACTTTTTCTTCGATCGCCTCGCTTCAACGAAATTTTAGGATGCAATTCCAGGCTCAGATACTTATTGGTATGCAGTAAACCCAATCTTTAACATTTCGATACATTTTCAGAGCCTGAAAATGCGTCAACGAAGTCTAAAACAGGCGTTAGCGCCATCAAAAACCGCTGCTGTACCGTTGCTATTCAGCAAGCATAGGCGCTGCCATTGCTCTATAGCGATGGCAGTGAGACTGCCCTATGTTTCTTTTTTTTTTGCCGCTGGCTTGCTTTTGAGCCGCAGACGATTCGAAGCCGAAGTTTAGTCGCTCAGTTCATGGTTTCCTTCACGCAGCTGCTGGGTGCAAACGCGGAGCGATGGCTTTTCCCGATTCCAATGCTTATCATTTTATTTGTGCTTGGCCAGTGTGGTACCTAATCAAAGTGGCTGTTTGTCCGCATTATCAACAAAATCAGCTAGCTGCAAGGGATGGATAAGAATGGCATAGAATAATGCAAAAGTCACCGCTCCACGATACCCTGCCTCTATCTCGACGTTCTCAAATACTTTTGACGGCGGACAGCTGCTGGTGTAAACGTGTTAATGCAACTGTTTGGTTCGTTCACGAAAGTGGTTTTAGGCATTGTTTCAGCGTACTTTTCACTATGGCTTCGCTATGCATGGGTGAGAATCACGTCCTGACGCTGCTGGGAAAGAATAGGAAGCAGCGGACATTTTTTGAATTTTGAGAATAAACGTTCCTTTGTTTGGTAGCTAAGTTCTGCTTTATTTTTTTTGATTTCGCTATAACTAAATTCTTGCTTCAACGAAATTTTTTCCACGCCCCATCAGTTTCGTTGTAGCGGGGTTCGACTGTACAACAAAAAATTCACAGTTCCCCATCAGCAGTCCATAGGAGCTGATGCATAACTATTGTTGCCGCAACGAACACTTTTCCTTCTACCGTCCCATTTCAACGAAATTTCACGATTCAATTCTAGGCTCAGATATTTATTGCTATACAGTAAACACAATCTTTAAAATTTTGAGGCATTTTTAGAACCTGAAAATACGCCAACGATGTCTAAAACACACGAAGTTCGACTAGGGCATATGAGGTCACGCGTTATTTCCTCTCACGTTTCAAGGGTAGAGTGGAATAACTTAATCTAAATTTCTCGTTTCAGTTTCTTGAGATGATGATATTAAATTTGTGATTAATTTTTTGCATTATGTCCATAGAAGAGTACACGAAAGAAGGTAACCTGCCCGCATCAGTGATAAATCTGTGGAATCGAGGGACCTGTTGCGACCAGACAGATTCCTTCTTGACAGCACATGTTTGAGCGCCATCGCTTTAAACGCTACTCCTAGCTTTTTTAGCAAGCATCTGGGGACTTTGTCGAACTCCAAGCGTGAGAGCCCCGAGAAATAAAACATGAACATGGATGGGCTTGTCGTAAAAGAGAATTCATAGAAAGAAAGGTATGCGGTGCGGCTCCGTTCTTGCAATGTTGTAAGAGTAGGATATAGTTTTTTTTTTAAGTATATATTAGAAGTGTATAATTTAGGGGGGGATGCAAATCAGTACTAAATACAGCAATCCATGTCGTATCCAATCCCATCCATATCCTAAATAGTAAAAATAGTAAATACAGGTCTGTCTAATCCAATCCAATCCACATCCAAAGTGGCCTGGGCTGTAACCATTATAGTGAACTAGAATACAGTAGACTCACAATAATTCAAACTCTGATAATTCATACTTCTAGTTAATTCAAACAAAATTCAATTTTTAGTTGGCCCTCTATTCGTTCAATATAGTTAAAAGCTTCTTTATTCAAACTCCATAATTCGTTTTGTTCAAACTCCATAATTCAGTTAATTCATACTTTTCGCAGTTTTATACGAGGAAATATCTGCTGCTTTCCTGCTACTATTTAAAAAATTGCATGCTTATATATAATCTTAACACTCTAAAAATGAAAAATAGGTGCCTTAGGTCTTCAAAGAAAAAGGCTTTGCTAGTAAACAAATGTTTGAAACAAAGCACACGCATGGTAAACCACAATGCTTCTCAACTAGTATAGAGAGCTTTGTGCTGAAGGCACTGTCGTGGATCCCACCGCTGCCACGAGTTGTTGCGGATCGGGGTCTGAGTCGTATCCCACCGCTGGCACCAGTTGTTGTGGATCCCAGTGCTGTTCACCAGTTGTTGCGAAACGGGGTCTGCCCGGTCTCTTGTGGTAGCGTGGTGTAGCTTCGAGTTGAGGAAACGAGCGCTTACAAGATGGGGATACGAAAAACAAACAGATTTATGGCACTATTTACAATTATTTATAGCATGAGGTTAGGAGTTCACAAACCACGAGCGTGGTGGTTGAACCGTTACATGGTCCAGAGCGACGTCCAGCACTCTGCTGCATCATTATAAGCCCTGTTGGGCTCCTCCTTCATGAGTGGAACACCAATCACACACACACAACAGGCGAGGAGTACGAGCATGCACGGCCCACGTGAACATCCAATATTGAGTCGTGATCACTGCACTGCAAGGTGGCGCCAGAGGGGCTCTTCCTCGTCGTGTATGTGCCGCTGGTCGAGGGGTCCCAAGCTCCTGACAGCAGACATCAAACGGTCCGCCGATCTGTCCACTCAGTTAGCAGGGCAATTTGTGGCGGCGGCCGCGGTTTCTTCCAAGGAAGATGCTGTCTTTGTTGTCCTCTCTGGAACGGCTTACGGCGTCGTGGCGACACGACGTCTCATCCTCCGGCTAACAGGGACAATACCTGGCGGGCATAGGCAGCCGGCCAGTCGGCTACTTGTTTGAGGATTAAAAGAGCGCCGCTCCACCCTCAGCTCTGGACGTTGGTTCCGAGAGAACTGGGGTTCCAGGGGTGGGAATGCTGCCCGGCTACGCTTCTCAGCGACAGCATGGCACCTACTGACGACGGTCATAACAGCACATATAGCAAAGAAGCAGTTGGCAATTGATGATTTCTTTAAAAGGTGTGATCAGCAGTAAATGGCTGATAAACTTGTGGCTCTTACACTTCTGCTTTCTATTCATTGCATGCAGGCAGGGTTTAAAAACCCCTCTAAAAAATTTTTAATCTGATAAAATCAATGCCTAATCATAAAGTAGGATGTCACCTCACCCACATTAATATTGATACAAAGTATCACTACCAGGAGAAACAAGGGAAGCGTGGGCAGAGAAGGAAGACGACGTTGCCTCCACTGCGATCCCCCTGAGTGGGTACGAGCCATGGCGGTGATCATCATCATTATACTGTGATTGCGGACTCAGGGCTCATTAAACCCCCCCCATTAAGTTACCTTAATTTGTGTAACAATTTGGTGGAGGTGCTGGGTAGGACGAACCCAAAGACGGGAGCTTCACTACCAGGACTTCGTCGCAGCCGCCGCCTCGCCGGACTTCCACCTTTGCCGATCGTAATGGCCCAAGAGCAGCCATCCAACGCTTCGAGGCCAACTCGGATGGGTTTCGTGCCGTACTACAGAGTGCCACCAAACTTCGGCGGGACCTCAGGAGAAAACGTCGACGTGTGGCTCAAGAACTACAAGCGGGTGAGCAGAAGCAATGGCTGGGACTCGAACGAACAGCTCAATCATGTCGTATTCTCGTTAACTGACACCGCCCTTATGTGGTACGAGAACCACGAGGACATGTTCACGACTTGGGAACGTTTTGTTGAAGAAGTGCAGAAGTGCTTCGGTGAT